CTTTGAGAAATATTTAGATTTGTTTCTAAATTATTAATTCTTTATATGTAGACTTATTCATGTCAACATGAGCTAAATCTAAGATGACAATTGCATTTTATAAAAATTAATTTTCTTCAATATTGAATTATAAACCAAACATAAAAATGATTGAATATTGTGCTTCGTTTAGTGGCATAATCAAGGACGAGCACCACCCCCCTACCACCGGATGGAAAGAAAAACATAATAACTACCATCATGCGCTACCACTCATGACTTCTTAAATACGTCAGTATAGTTCGCGTTTCCTTCTTTCCAACGGGAAGATACATTTGAAAAATGTTTTAATCAATATTCACTTGTTTTTTTAATTAAAACATTATAAACAATGCAACTTCTTGATGAAAAGAATATAATATCTTTATACTTTTACGTGTACGTACAGAGTAGATAAACTATGAAGATGCAGCAAGATTTTGATGAAAATTGTAATTCAATCTGTTTAAACTATCTTGAAATATTAGAAAAATAAAGCCATCGATTAAGTTTATCGATCAATTTTGATGCCAATTGATTATGACATTACTTTGAAATATGTTATTACAGAAACCATTGATCTCTAATATTGAAGATATTCTTTTGCGTGCTTTTGAATAGTTATTCATAAGTATTTTTCTATTTTTTCATTTATAATTTTGAATATAGTAATTAGACAAGAAAAATAAGAAAAAAGTAGAGCATCTAATCAATATTCACGATAATATTTTATTAACAAATTACAAAACAACAATATTTTTTGTTTGAATTGTTCGACATTTATCACGAGTTTTATCGTAAAACAATTCATAACAGTATTTCAAGTTCGTACATGAAAAAAAAAAATAACATATTACTCATGTTTAACTGAAAAATCATTTTTTGATAATCAATAAAATAAATAACAATTAATAATTGTCATTATTAACAGTCCCAAATGTTCAATAAAACAAAGAAGCAATGATACATTCGATCGATTCATTATTAACCACATAAACTCAAATATAAAAGGTATCAAAACTAAACACTACAAATGTACCTGAAATAATCAATAAATCTTATAAGTAAATTAAATTTCAATTATAAATAATTTTTTTTTTCTGTTAATTGAATACTTATGTTAAGAAAAGCATTGTTTCTAAACTCATTCAATAAAACTACTAAGAAGCTCTTCAAAAATCCTTTTATACATCTATAGTGATCTCATAAGAAGATGTTATAAGTATTTCTTCTATGTTTGAGTGTGTTATTCTATTTAGTTCCAATAGTACAAAGTCAACGGAATGCATAACCTTCATGATAATTATATTCATTTCGATTGCAAAAAAAAAAAAAAAAAAAAAAAAAATCTTTTCATATATTGATTTAACAATATAACTTACTTAAATTAATACGATAGATTTTTTCATGTTTAGATATATTGAAAAGTAAAAATAATTATCGTAAATGTAAAGAAACAAAAAAATACTATTCATTTACATAAATAAACTAATTACAGAATAAACAATATAGCGACAAAAATAAAGTGAAACATCAAAATTATGTTTGTAAGAACATCAAATATTGTTTTGTTTTTGTTTTTTTACAGTAAGATGATATAAAAGAATTTCGTATGTATGGTAATCGGATGGATTTCGTAGATTATCAATTGAATCAACAACACAAATTTGATTTCAACAAAATATATATTTCTAAAGAATAAAATAAACCAAATTTGAATGAAACAAATAAATAAGCATTTAGGATAAATGATGATATTATATCTGTTGTATACATTCCAAAATTATCAATGAAACTAAATAAAACGAAAAATAAATATTTCTTTTTTTTTTCGTTTGAATTTCATTATTCACTAACACATAGATATTAATAATACATGAAAGAATAGAATGAATAAATGATATTGATATATTAATATGTTTCTAATGGTATTATGCATCCTTATGTGAAATAAATCTAGATAATACATGATGAATTATAGACTATATAAATATGCTTGTATAGTTGCTCACCAAAAAGTATTCCAATTGTAAAACATCCGTACAACGAATAAGGATTTTTATCTTCTCTTTTTTATACATATTATATATTTGTCTGTCAGTCAGTGAAGTTTTATTATGCTTTTTTTATAAAAAAAAAAAAAGAAGAAAAGCCGAACAAAGATACAATGGTTGAGAGAGAGAGAGAGAGAGAGAGAAGCACTTAATAATGTACAGTATAAACGATAATAATAAGGACAAACACAACAGTTACAAAAAAAAAATATATACGACCACACACAGTTGTATTTGTTTTACTCGCCTACTAGACAAAGAAAAGCGCACACTAGAAACATTCAAAAAACAAAACAAAAAAATATAAACTGATTTTAAAAAGAAACATGATAAATCTATACATATATATATATATGCACATACGTATGTGTTTTTAATACTTTCATGTCTAAGTCTATGCACATAACTCAATTATAATACAACGACAGTGATGGATTTTTTTTTTGAAAGACACATATATACAAAATAGAATCTCTCTCATATAATTTTCAACTACTGTCGCTGTTTTATTCTATACGCAAAAAAAAACAAAATAAGCGAGTGTGTGTGTGCGAGAGAGAGAGAGAGAGACATGGGCTTTTTTTCTTCACTGTATGCATCTGTATTTTTAAAAGACAAAAAAAACAAAAGAACGTCTACCATACGGACGGAAGTGATTCGTTTGTGTGTTTATACGTTAATCATCTTTGCCATTTTGTAAACCAGTAGGTTTTCTTTTCATAATAATAGCAAATCAATAATTAAAAGAATTCTTTCATAAATACGTTTTTAAACGCTGGATTGATTGATACAAAAAAAAGCGAGACATGAAATTGATACATGTATGTTCATATGTACACACGTAACGAATATAAAAAAAAAATGAACAAGAATAACCGAAGTTCAAAAACAAATCAGAAGAATTTCTATGAGAATATTTATTTTAATCGCCGGGATGTTCAGGACATGATCTATTAATACGAAACCAACTGTCAATACAACTAAATAAATGAAATAGATATATAATTTATAGAAAAATATCAAAACAAAAAAAAAAACCCCAAGCTTTCAAGGATTTTTTTTGTTTGTCATTTCATTTCTTTGTATGATAAATAAGTAGATTATCTTATTTAATTAAAGTCACAAAACAATGAATTGATATTCAATTATATAAAGAAAATTCTATTTTTATTATGATCTATAAATTATTTATCATGTCTATTAAAATTATTTTGACATGAAACATTCAGTTGAATAAGTTCTTCCTGAATAAATTATGTGTTAGAACTCGACAAGAAGCTAACATCAAATTTAATAAGTAATACGTTTTTGATTATCATGTTTTTTTTTTTCTTCTATAGATTAACCTTTCATGTACTGACAATTCTATTTATCTATTACACTATTTCGAATCTGGTATAAGCAGATGTATGATACATTTTTACATATTAAACTATGTCTTTTATTAATAAGAAAACAAAAAACAAAGGTTTCATGTGTCGATGATACATTATGTAATTCATCAAGATCAAGTTCAATTCATATTGTATTCGTGTATATCGATCATATACTTAATATTTTTCAAATTTTTAGAATAATCATAAAAGATAATTTAACACATAAAAATCTAATTATTAGGTACATATAAATAATGAGAAACTTTCAAGTAAAAGATGGAAATCTTTATGTTCAAGTTCTATATGAATATCTTCTGTACAAACAAAAAAACAAAACATCTGCTGATTTATATTTCTAAAAAATCTTTCTCTTATTTCATATTTTACCTTTTATGATAAATGCAAAGACATGGTAATCGAGCAATTTTTTGTCCTATTAATAAATCATCGAGACAAATGACGCATTCACCTTTATCTTCAGTTAATGTATCTTCTATAACAATAGAAAATAAATAAATGAATAAGATTTTGTTATTTTTTTTGGGAGGAATTTTAAACAAACCATTATAATCTATACGTGGTTTCGATAAACATTGTAAAATATGTTTTTCAAATGAATCGCTTGGTATTGTTTTATTACATACAGGACAAGGAACATCACGTAGAGTTATTATAAAATGTTGTAAACGTCGATGAGCTTGTGGAGAATCATCATCAGAACTTTGATCATCTGATTCATGTTCAAGTCCAACATAACGTAATAAATTTAAATTAAATGTTGTTGTTGTACCTAATGGATCAATATTTGTTGATGTTGTTCGATGTCGATTATTATTTGTTGAATTATTACCAAAAAATCCATGAGAATGACGATGACTACTATTTGAACGATGACGATGATTTACTGTTTGTTGTTGTTGATAATGATGATTTGTACTATTTGAATGTGTACGTGTAAGATTTGAATTTGTTGATGAATTTGAAGTTGTTGGTCGATGAGCAGTTGTTGATGATGATGATGCCGATGATGGCGGAGTTGTTAAACGACCACCCATATATATATTATGTATATTATTAATAAAATAAAATATCAAAAGAAAAAAGAAAAGTACTCAATATCAATAGATAAATATAGATATATATATATATATTATTAAGATAAACGAATCATATTTAATGATATATCTAAATAAAAGTAAAATATTGATTATTAATAAATAAAAAAAAAAATTTTTTATTTAATATTTTAATTATCAATCGTATGCCACATTATATAAAGAAAAGAGAAAAAAAAAAGACAAACAATCAACAGTAAACACCATACGTCTATGCATTACTTATTGGAACTGTAAGTGTCGACATCACGCTTATATTTCATTGGTTTATTGATGAAGCGGATCAAAAAAACATTTTAAATGTAATGTACACATTTATATTTCTCAATGAAGCGGTCAATCAATTTACGAATATAGAGAATCTCATAAGGTGATAATTTATGTACCCAAAAAAACGTAAACCGTGCTTCAACATAGATCTTTTCATTTCGAATAGTATGAAAGCAAAACGTACACGTCAATATTACTGGATGCTTTTTTATGAATTGTACAATGAATATCGGGGTTATTATCCAATTCCTGTTTATTTATGTTCACTTATAACTTTTTCCTTATTATTATATTTATCTTTTAATTATTTACATTTCCTAGTATCTACAACATTAATTGATTTTACTAAAATTATTACTCCAATTGATCCTCATACTCGAAAAGTAAGAGGAATGAGTGTAGAAGATAAAAAATTAAAATATCGTGAGTTTAATTATTTGAAACCTGAAACATTAACTTATGAAAAACGAACATATTTTAATAATATTGAAATATTATTTCGTTTACGAAAGAGACCTCGTCCACAAGCTTTATTATTAATTTTTCATGGTTGTAGTCGTTCAGCACATGATTGGTTTCATACAATTGAACGACAACGTATTATTGGTGCTGCTTTAGAACTTGGTTATGGTTGTTTAGTATTTCAAGCAACAGATGATTTTACACGTTGTTGGTCAAATAATCCTGATGTTCATCAAAATATTGATGCACAAATGGTATTAAAAGGACTGGAAGGATTTTATAAAGAATTTCCACACCTAGGTTAATTAAAACAAAGATGTTTTGTTTTTGTTTTTTTTTGTTCAAAGAATTTATATGAGAATTTTATCGTTTTGTTTTGTTTTTCTTTTTAGAAGCTTTGCCACGTTTTACATTTGGTGCATCAAGTGGTGGAATATTTTCAAGTATATTTGTTACTAATCAACGTTATTCAATTCAAGGACAAACATTATTCATATCGATTATTCTTCCTGAAATATTAGAAAAACATATTAAAGCAAAAAGTTATCCAGTAACTGCTTGGATATATGTACGTGAGAAAATAAATAGAAAAATTTCGATTAATATTTTCTTATTATTAACTAATAGTTTCATTTATCAATAGTAAACAATATAAATTAGAAATTAGAGATATACACAGGGTAGAATTACTCTACCCTGCCATATACAGAGATCATCGGGTCCTATCCGAGCCCGATCGGATCCGGATAAGGTTCAAACCCAAAAATTCTTCGAATCGATGGGTTCTACCCTGTACCCTGCCATGAGCAGGGCAAGGTAAGGTTTTATACTCTGCAAACTAGAAAATCAGGTTTTCGAATTTTGATTCTGCAAAGGATCGTTTTTTCAGTCTTTGACGGTCAAAAATAGACTGTCGAGGGTGGTACCAACCGATATTCAGAATGTTCTCCTTTAGATCTATGCTCGAATGAACGGGGTAGGATTAAAAAAAAAGTAAAATGACTATCAAAGCATTGTGTTTGTATTTCTTATTCTCGTGTTTTTAGCAGATTAAAGCAAAAAAATTTAAGTTATGAGTTCTATATCATCTGATTCGGATGATGATATTTACCAAATATCTACTCTTGATTTTACTGCTAAATCAAATATGTCTTCATCTTGTCTTGTCAGTCGTTGCACTTTATCTTCAAATTTTTATAGTGCTAAATAATAAAAGCAATAGCCATTCGAAAAAAAGATCAAAATTTTAGTGTTAAAAATAAAAGAAATGGTTTGGAAGGTATCAATGATCTTATCAGCTGTTTCATATGTTTATCGTACATTTCGTTACGGATTTACAAGTTGAACAAAGCACTTTGTAAAATACACAAATTGATGCTTTCAGAAAGTGAAGAATATGATTATAGTATAAGAAAAGATGATAAATTTGATCAATGTCTCTTGTTTGAATTTGATAAGAAAAAAAAGACAATCGAACAGAGCTGTCGGGTTAACATTATCATTGCATTAACTCAATGCTACGAGCAATATTTTTGCATAATGATTTTGAGACAAAAGTATCACAAATTTATATTGATTAATGTAATGCTAAAATGAAGTCAACATTCCTGACTAATTTCAATACTTTTTGTTTGCAATTTTAATACAAAAGCATTGTAACTACTATCAAATAAATACAATACTGCATTGACTTAAGAGTAGTTACAATATTGTTGTATTAAGACTGTAAACAAAAAGTATTGAAATTAATCAAGAATACTGACTTCGCTTTAGTATTATATTAATCAATACAAATTGCGACATTTTTATCTAACAATCGTTATACAAAAGTATTGTTGTTAGCATTAAGTTAATGCAATGCCAATACTAAATCGAAATTTCTGCAACAACAATGAATGTAGAAAGAGACTTTTCCAACTGCTGGATGGATCCTAGACTATGAAGAAAAAATCTTCAACCAGATAATTTAGAGAACATTTTATTAGTAAGATCAGTAGAAAAACAGTCATATAAGAAAAAACGATTATTTTGTTTTTGGTTGCTTTTGTATGAACTCATATTAGTTATCCTACTTTCCTTTTCTTGAATATCTTTTTTCAAATGAGGTTTTATATTAAAGATTATGAATCTAAATTATGTATATTATATCACTTCCTTTTCTTTTTTTTTTTGATACTGATATATGTTTTTAATTGCACTGTGACTTATTTTTCCGGTTAAATGGGTTCAAATAAAACAATGTTCTACGAACACAATTAAAAAACATTTTCTCTTTTGGCCTACATCGCAAATTGCAATGTAGACAGTATATCGATTCAGTAGGGCAGAGTGGTAAAAACCACTCTGTAGATACCTCTATTAGAAATATTTCAAAGCAAAATAGATTAGATATTTATGTTTTTTTCTTTAAATTTTTAATTCTTGATGGCACAATGACTTATAGCAATATCATTCTTAAAAAAACAAAAACGTACACTTTTATCTTATCTTCTATCTAATTTTATTATTATTTTTCTTTTATTATCATCTGTTAGATGTTACGTGATCTTGAATTTGCTTCCGAAGATCGTATAAATGCATCAATGCGAATGTTTGCTCGAGAAAAGATTCATCATAAAAGTTTTATAATCGAACCAATTGGTTTATCACGAACAACATTTCATGAACGCATTCCAACAATAAGAAAAGAAACAGCACGTTATATTTACTATCGTTTAGAACAAAATGGTTGGTTAGGTCCATATAATCATTTAAGATATAATCCACGACGTAGAACAGTATGGCAAGAATTTTTATTTACACCAAATAATAGTACAATGGAAACAAAAGAGGTTCTTCAAAATCTTAATGAAAATAAACAATACATTCCAGATTTTTTAAATACAGTATATGGCGAACATGAAATAAGTTTTGAACGTTCATATGAAGCATTAAAATGGCATAGAAAGATTTATCATAATAGAGGCAATCCTCCAAAGTGATCTACATGTTTATCATTATATAGTACAGTACTTTTTTTTTCTGTGATATAGTTTTTTTTTTTGACGCTTTTACTATTATTATTATTATTAGTAGTATTATTATTATTCTTTTTTCTTTACCTAAACGAATATATTATTTGTTCAAAACAAAAAAAAAGTGTAGAAATAGTTGTCAACAATAATCGGTTTGTTTTCTCTTTTGCATTTAATAAATACATAGATCATTTCTTTACTATACAACGTGCAAATGACGAAGAAAAAATCTGACTCTTCAACGAAAACACTCGTTGGTGCTATTGATCAAGGAACATCATCATCTCGATTTCTTGTACGTTCTTTAAAGAAATAAACAAAAATAAAAACAACTGCTTTTTTTTTTCTATTCTAAAAGATTTTTAATGCAACAAATCTTGAATTAATAACATATCATCAAGAATCTATTCAAATTTCAACACCAAATCCTGGTTGGGTTGAACAAGATCCAAATGAAATACTTGAAAAAACTATTCTATGTATGGAAAAAGCTGTTGAAAAATTAGGAGAATTAGGTTATGATAAATCGGATATTAAAGGTAGAAGAAAAAACAAACGAAAATAGAAAAATTTTATTTCTATTGGGATTTTTTAGTTATTGGTGTAACAAACCAACGTGAAACAACTATTTTATGGGATAAAAAAACTGGAAAGGTATTACATAATGCTATTGTTTGGTTAGATGCACGTACACAAGAAACAGTTGATTTTCTTTTAAGACAATTTAATACACATAGAGATTGTCTACAAGTTTGTTAATTTGAATTTTGTCTCTTGAATTCGTATAGAATTCTTGAGTTTGATTTCTTTTTCAAGGAACAATGTGGTTTACCATTATCAACTTATTTTTCAGCATTAAAAATTCGATGGTTAATTGATAATAATCATCATGTTAGAGAAGCAATTAAAGAAAACCGATGTTTATTTGGTACTGTTGATAGTTGGCTACTTTATGTAATAAAGAAAAGAAAATTTTGATCATTTTATATTATATTATATTTGTGTTTTAATTAGAATTTACTTTCCGATGATAAAAATACTGTGCATGTAACTGATGTAACAAATGCTAGTCGTAAGGATACTATAATTTATTTTACTATAAAAAGAAAAAGAATATATTAGTAATCATATAACGAATGGCATATAATAAACGGAAGCAAAAGTTTCCCTTTTTTTGTGGAGGCACTTTTCGACAGTAGAAACTTCATTATAGACTTATTTGATAGAGAACTTCCTGTTCTACAAAGTTACCTTCTTTGTTTTTCAAATAATTTCTTTTTTTTTTGTTGACGCAAATTTTTAAAGGTGTACACCTACTCAATCGTCTAACTACAATTTCCGATTTTCTACAAATATCTATCGATTTGTGCTAAGACTGATGCTAAAAGTAAACTATTTGACATCAATAAATATAGAAATTTCATGTTCTCTACTTCCATAGTCTTTTCAACGTTTCTACTGCTATTTTTCAGAAGAAAAAGGTACTCAATCAACGTCAAGTGGCATTTTGAGATGCAATCGAGAAAATCACGTTTTCTAAACGCGACACTTACCCTATGGCATAGTTGTTGTGATGTTATTGAGTATAGGATTTAATTCTAAACAGAATTATACGATGATTAAATTAAAAAATAGAAAGATTACGTTATGTCAAATTAAAAAAAGATCAACAATGTAATTCTATCAAATAAAGTTCCTTTTACCTTGTTTACTTCAAAAATTTTTTCTCCTATACAGTTCTTCTAAAATCCTGAAACATATATTAAAAAATACAGAATTTTGTCGAGAACTTCATAGAATATTCGAAATTTCAATGAAAGTTTTATGAAAAATATTTTCGGCTTTTCATCATTGCAATGATGAAAAAGATGTTAATTGAAAAATGAAGACAGTAGTTTTACAGTACACCAAATTTTCTATCGAATGAGCGTAAAACAAACTTTTGGATATGTTGAGAAGGACTTTAAAAAGAGAAAAATATTTTATTCAATTTATTATGTGCCACTCGTTAATTATCATTCAGTTAGATGTTTCTTATGCAGGGATGTCTCAAAAGAGTAATCCCCTAATCTCTAAAAATTTTCGCTTTGCTCGAACGAAATTCTAACATCCAAACCTCATAAATATCTTCTAATTGATCATCTGAATCATCAGCTTCCTTTTCAATTATAGCGACCTTGGAACATTCCTGAGTTTTTATGCTTGATAACGTTTACTTGAATTAATACATTAATAAATAATTTCTACATTCTTAATATCTTCTGAATCTTAAATCAAAATTCATTGATCTATCTTTAGGAACAATGTTAATGAATATTCGCGATCTCAAATGGGATCCTAAACTTTGCGAGTATGAAAAATTATTTAATAGTTTAAATAAAATTTATTCTTATTATTAATAGATTCTTCGGTATTCCTGAACATATTTTGCCAGAGATCAAATCATCTGCAACAATATTTGGTTATATTAACAAAGGTTTACTTCAAGGAATTCCTGTTGGAGCAGTAAGAAAATACAAATTCGTTATTATCATTATTGTTTGTCTTTTATTATTGTTTTCTAGGTACTCGGTGATCAACAAGCTGCATTAGTTGGACAACAGTGTTTAACTAAAGGAACAGCAAAGAGCACGTATGAATGATTTTCTTTCTCTTTTTTTTTATCTAACTTTGATAAACATTGTTTTTTCTCTTTATATTTAGATATGGTATATGATAATAATCAATAAAATTTTTTCATATCGAGTTTTCTAATTAAATAGGAACTGGTTGTTTTATTTTATACAATACAGGTGAAGATTTAGCTTATTCTCGAAATGGTCTTTTAACAACAGTTGCATATAAATGGAATGATGATGATGCTGTTTATGCCCTCGAAGTGCGTAAAAAAATACTGTGTGTGTGTGTGTGTGTGTGCGATTAGAAAAAAAAAAGAATTCTGTTATATATATATATACATGAATATAATTCCTTTAATTAGGGTTCTATTGCTATTGCCGGTGAGTGTATTAAATGGTTGCGTGACAATCTTGGATTGATTCCAGATTCTAAAAGCACTGGTTTGTTCGATAATAAACTACGAAATAATAATTTGTGTTGTTGTTAATTGTCTTTTTATATATTAGAAACAATAGCAGCTTCTGTAAAAGATACTGGTGGTGTCTATTTTGTTCCTGCATTTTCAGGTTTATTTGCACCTTATTGGAGATCTGATGCTCGAGGTATATTTTTCAAAATATAAAATAATTTAAATAGAGCAAAACAAAAAAAAACAAGATATTTAAGGTTTGATTATGGGTATGACTCAATATACAACAAAAGCACATATTGTTCGAGCAGCTCTCGAAGGTATTTCTTATCAAACACGTGAGGTAATTTTCTTAATATTATATTTATGTTTAAATTTTTTTTTTTTTTTTTTTTTTCTTCTAAATAATTAGATTGTTGATGCAATGTATGATGATAGTGGTGTACGTCTTTCAAAATTAAAAGTCGATGGAGGAATGGCAAATAATAAAGTATTTCTTCAAATGCTTGCTAATATTGTTGGTATAAATGTAGCTACACCAAGTTTATTTGAAACAACAGCATTAGGTGCTGCACTTGCTGCTGGAAAAGCACAAGGTATTGATTTATTTACATTAGAAGTTGAAAATGAAATTGAAACTGAAATGAGTCAATATATACCACGAATACAAGGAAAACGTAAAGAAAAAATATTGTTTTTTTTATTTTTCTATGAATATATTTAATAGAACGTGAAGAAAATTTTTCTGCATGGAAAAAAGCTGTTATAAAAAGTTTTGAAAATTTAACACCTGCATTTAATATTGAAAATAAAAGTAAAAAAGAAATTATAAATTTTATTATAAATCTTTAATTTATATTCAAGGTATGCAAAAAGATACAACTCATTTATCATCAAGAACTATGGGATGGATAGCATTGACAAGTATTTTTGGTATTCTTTTATGCATGACTTTTCGTGATGATCAATCACATTTATTCTAAATCTTTTTTTTTTTCTTTCTGTGATAAAAGTTTTCATATTATTCATTTCAATAAATATATTTATTTTTATGGTAGTGCTTTATAATTTTTATTAAGGTTAATTATATTTTAATTTTTTTTTCTGATGTATTGCAAAAATACATAAATAAAGATTTGAGGAAAACAAAAAAAAAAAAAAATCAATCAAGAGAAAATATGATGTTATATTTCAATTTATGATAATTCTGTATAGACAATTTTATCTTGTTTTTCAATATTATATATACTAAATTATTTTTATTTGTACGGTAAGATATTTTTGGTGTTTAGTGATTGTTTATAGATTTACATCTCGGTTTTTTTTTTAAATATAGGAGAGATTCACATATGGATTCTATCTTTTTCTTTATATTTCTGTTTTTGACTCGACATTAATTTACAGACATTGAAATGATTTTTTTTTTGCCTATAAATAAAAATACAGGAAATTTAATCAATTTTATTGCAAGGTGTATTATATGCACTATATTAACATGTCAATCAAATCAAGCAGATTGATTTTTTTTTCATTTATTATTTCATCAAAATATGATCTTGTTGACGACGCATTAGTTCTTTTATAAATGCATTTGCTCGATGAGAAACCTCTTAAAAAAGAGAAGAAAGAGAGAGAGAGAGAGAGAGACAGAGAGAGAGCTTCATTTTGTCTTTTTCTTTATTACGTCGGCATTCGTTCATGCCGTCCTTTATTGTTGGTGAATGCACAGCGAGATCTGTTTGTATGACTACGCTTGGGTTATTCGACTATACTTGCTCTTTGATCGTAATATTTAATGAAAAAAAATGAGAGAGAGAGAGAGAGGGAAGGAAAAACGTTATTATCGATAAAAAGAAAAGGCGAAGAGACTATCAGCAAAAAAAAACAAGAGATTTTTTTATTTTCTGGTTAGGTAGTAAAACGAGAAAAGGGCGTGGTAATAATAGTAATGTATTAGTTTTTTTTTTTTTTTTGTTATAAGAGAAAACAAAGAAAAATTAAATTATACTAGCAAGTATATTTATGTTCCGTGAGATAGATTTAGAAAATGAACATGAATAACAAATATTGTAGGTTGTGTGTTTTTTTTGTATGATTATGATTATGATTAATTTATTTTTTTTTGACTATAACTGAAGTCTTCTCTCTCTTTTTTCTCTTTATCTGCTATAGTTTTTTGCTTGTCTCTTTAGTGCTCATTCTCTAGGGACTTATTGTCTGAGTAAGTTAACTTACGTTCATACTCATTTATACATGAAGATCGTAAAATGTTGCATGCACGCATGCATAGTTTTATAATTCGTTTTAATTAGCTTAGACAATTTTTGATAAATATAAGTATCATGACGTCAATGAGTAATAGAACATAATTTCATTGTCAAGTAGATATTGTTAGTAAATGCAAAACATCTATCTTAAGTAATATTTCTTATCTTTTGTCTTTTTTTAGATCAATCTCATTAATGTAAGAGTAATTGAAAATGTTTTCTTAATAATAACTTGAATAGATCGAGAGAAAATTTTTTATTTTCAAGTGGTTTCAGATCATTTGAATAAAATATTCATTGTGAATAATTCTCAAAAGTATATCGTTTTAATAAGAAGAATAACACATTATTAGCATGTCAGTAATAAGTTTTTAAAGCAATAGAAACAAGAAAATTTGTAATAGAAATATAATTTGTATGCTTTTGTCAAGGAGATTATATTTGAAATATACGCCTATTCTATTTTATTTTGGCATATACAACATTGAATTCATAAATCTAAATGATGCTGAATCACGACATAGAAAACATATATATACACACATGCACGCACATATAAGAAAAGCAAGTTAAGCGCATGTCACGACACTATAAAGCCGGGAGGAAGTCTCCGGATGCTGTTCCATCATCGTCATTATTCGTGTGTCAGCACTTCCTAATAGGCATCGTGCGCTTTTTCTTCGATATCTAGGAGAGAGAGAGAGAGAGAGAGAGAGAAAAAAGAAAAAGCCTTAGGGTTTTGCTTAGGTTTTATTTGATAGACATTGATGAATGATTAATTCATTTTCAGATTACCAAATTCCACCATTGAACACGAAAAATGCTGGGTGGGATCTTCAAATTAACACTGTCCATTTGTGCTTTATTTTTATTCGTCAATCTTCTTTGGCAATCTTCAATTGTCGATGCTTTACCGGTAAATATTCTTATATTGAATAGTTATTAAAATTTGTATGTATATTATCTAAGTTAGACTTATATTTATTGTTAAACTATGATTTGATCATTAAAATAAAAATCTATTTCTCGGTGAATATATTCAAAATCTTCTTTTAAAGTAAAAATACAATCATTATTTAATGACATTCTCGAAGTTCTATTTAGTATGAAATTTTATCTTTCTACTATCTAAACGTGTGATAATTAAAAAGAATGTCTTCTCTATTTGTTCTCATTTAATTCACATATGTAAATTGACAAAAAATGATACTTTTTGTTTTTTAATGTTGTCATACTAAATAATGAAAAAAAAAAAGAAGTATCATCTGTCTTGTTTGAAAAATCTTAGAAATTTATAATAATTTATATATATATATATAATGTTCTAAAAGAATATATTGTTGAGATTGAATATTTATGATTTTCTATACTTATATTTTCATGCATGAAAAATTCTAGATATAAAACATCTTGTATGTGTATTAAGGGTAAATAAGTAGCGTCAATAATAAGCTTTTAAACAATATTTTATGTTGATACTTAATTATTTTTGACATCATTGAAAATCATCAAGTCTATCATTATATAAATAGCATTTTATATGATATGCATAGTTATTAATATTAAAAAAATGAGAATAATACTTTAAACTATTCTATATATATATTTTTTTTTCTTATATAGACCTTTGTTGCAACCGACGATGATGTGGTCAAATCAATTGATGATATGTCACGTTTGTTTCCGGTCAATAGTCCTACGGGTGCGTCTTTAGTTAAATTTTGATTATATTTGACTTTATTTTCTTTTGTTTAATAGGTACATACAATAAAAAATTTCGAGCTGCTAAACGAATGAAAACTGCATTAGACAATCGTCTAAAACGTTTTCGTATGCTTGATCAAGATGAATTTCAAGAAATGCTCAAATCATTAAGTCAACAATCTCCTGAAGAGCAATTAAAAGCATCGAATGGTGTTGATACTTTCGGCGGTATGCATATTTCAAGTAAGTTTTATTCAATAGATCTTTTATTTTATTTTTTTCTTCTTCCTTTTTTTTTGTTTTAGACTATTGGTCGTCCTAATAAAAAAAAAGACAACCGTATTAAAATATGGTACATACTCTCTCTTTCGATGTTTATCTGTTCACACCTATCCCAGATTTAATAAGAAAGAATGTTTGTTCCATAATCCAATTGACTTGTCTCTTTGATTTTCTTGCGCCATATATTTTTAGCATATAAGAAAGAGAGAACAAGATAATAAGAAAAAATATTACAAAGTAGTTTTTCTCTTTTCATTCACTGTCATAAATAAAATTTCCCATATTGAAATATATATATATATATATACATAAAGGCTATACAATTCTATGTGTTTTAAAGAATTTCTTAATTAATGAAATATTTCAAGATATAATTGCTAAAAATTATGAAAACAATGAATGAAGAAAGATTATTGTTGATATTATTGAAAATTATTTGTTGAAAAGTGAATAATGAATTAATGTTTCTTTACTATTCAATATATAAACTAATATTTATTTTCATGAAATACTTCAAATAAATAATTAACTTATTTCTATTATATTTCAACTTAGAAAAGTAGATCATTTTTATTGAGAGAATTAGTATTTTGTTTTCCATATTTGATGAAACTTTTTTGACAAATTGTACTTTAAAAATTTTTAGTTTATATCAAACACTATCATTGCAACAAGGATATAATTGTTTATTCTCAATATATAATGACACTTTTTTTTTGTTTTTGCAAGTTGTATTTAAAATATTTTTAGTTTAAATGAGAAACTATAATTGTAACAAGGCTATAATTAAAGACAATAAATTATCTGGCAAAGAACAAGTTTATAACAAAAAATAAACATTCAACATTAGTTTTTAATAATGATCTATTCTGAGAAATAACTCTATGACTTGTTGTATTATTTTATTCTGATTAAAGCATAATTTTGATTAAAAGATTTATCAAAAGTACAAAGATTTTTTTCTTCTATGAACAAAATATTTCGTTAGTATGAATATTTAATTTAATTGACATCAAAGGAACAAGTTATCTCAAGGGAAATATGAAATATTATCTGCTTGACGAATTTTATCAATTTTCCGTCATTCTCATTGATATTATTTTCTTCGCATCAATACAACCGACATTTTCTTCGACAATTAAAATAGGTCGATAAATCACGATTATATATTTTTACGGATGTTAGTTTCAAAATTGAACATGTTAGAAAATAAAAACTTACAAAAAAAAAAAAGTCGATTAAAAAATTATTATTCGATGTTTTTGTTTTGTTTTTGTTGTCGTGACCTATCTTTATACAAAATCAATTTCCTTTGTTTTCTCTCTTCTTTTTTTCTTTTTAAGATTCTATCATTGATCTCAATAGCATAATAAGCAAATCGTTATGATGATGAGTTTCCGTTTCTAAATATCAATATAATCAGACATTTATAGACAAAAAATGAATACTTTATAAAATCAATAGGGAAACAAAAAACAAAACAAAAAAGAAAGAAAGAAAGAAAAGAAAAGTTGATTTAAACGTGCACATCAATCTGTATTAAATTTAATCATCAATGTTTTTATATAACTTTATAAAAAAATCTTTATATTTTTTTTCTACGGCAAATCGTCGTGATTTAAATGTTGGTGTTAAAAGTCCATTTTCAATTGTAAATGGTTCTTTAATAAATTCAATAGCTTTAATTTGTTCATATGACATTAAACCACGTTTTTTTCCTTCTCGTAACATATCATTAAGTACGATTTCTTTTAATTTTTCTTCAGTATTATATTGAGTATTTTTATCACCTTTTGTATTCCATTTTTTAACATAATCTTCATTTAATACAACAATAGCAACAGGAAAATTTTTATATGAATCACCATAAACAAATACTTGAGATACAAATTGACTACGTGAATATGCATCTTCGATTTTTTCCGGTGCGATATATTCGCCTTGACTTAACTAAAAATGAGAAAAAAAATAAAAGGAACTCATATCTTTGTTGTATTTTTTTTTTGATATACAATTCTGACAAAATTTATAGGACTATGTATTTGAGTGATATTGTTTGTTCGCTCTCGATCAATCTAGACTTTTAATACGATATACGTTTTGGCATCGAAAAAAGCCAAATTTTTTGTGTTGTAGCTCCAAGTATTACCTTTTCTACATTGTTGATGAACTTAGTCTTTAAGAATAAATATTTATTAGCCTTCTTTTTCAACTAAAAAAAGTTTTGAACTACGCGTGATTAATAGTAGAATTATATGCATTTATTAAGTGATCATGAATTTTAGGACATTTAGTAGATAGTATATAGTGTTCTAATGAAAACTCGTATTTTCGAAATTTTGATCTGAAACGTTGTGCATATAAAGAACTCAATTAGACTAGTTTCCATAAAAAAGATAAAGAAATTTTGAACAAATTTTCTTTGAGATGTTAAGCTATCAAAAAAAATCATGTTGTATAACACTATCCATAGCAAGTTTCTATAGCTTGAAAGTCTAATATCTCGAAGAGACTTCGTTCAAAACTTCTGAATTTTTATTATGAAAACTAGTCTAATTGAGTTTTGTATATGCACAAAGTTTCAGATCAAAATTTGAAAGTAAGAGTTTTCCGAAAATCTCAGATCTCTAGAAAATAAACATATTAAAAATTCGATAGCTGAATCAAATATTCCTAGGAATCTACATCCTTTTACGGTTTTTATCAGAATATTATAGGTAAAACCATTGATATTGGAAGGAAGATTTGATGAGGTTCTCTCGTAAGTTCAATATTTTGACTGAAAATTTTGAAATATATAGGCGAAGCTAATTTTTGGACAATGAATTCAAATTTACAACCCTTTTTACAATAAAATGAGAAGTTCGCTAGTTCTGTGCATCATTTATAGACCTATATCGGAGTCAGTTTTAGGAGTCATCGAAGCTCTCTAAATTCTCTACGCATAAATTAGATTCAATATTACAGGTTTTTTTTGAATTTTGAGTTTTATTCTTTGATCTTCATTGTACAAAGTAATGTATGCTAGAGGCTAGATTCACGTCTCCTCAGGGCTTTACAAAGACAGGAAAAAGTCTGAGTCAAGGTTAATGTCAACATGTTCTCATGAGTGTAGGTGTTAAAGAGATATCAATCGAATTCTGAGAACATATCGGTTTGTACAGTACATATCAAAGAATAAAACTTATAATCCTCTTGTGTTAAATTTGATTAATTATTGAGACATTTAGTTGACTCTAATACAGGTCTATAGTATCATTTTACTATAGAGAAATCTACGGTGTCAAAACCTATATCCTATGTTTGGACGAAAAAAAAACAACACAGAAAATGACTTAAAACCTACTTATGTGATCGTTGTAGATTTTAATACCGTATGTCTCTCTGTAATGAAATGATGTTCAGAACTAATATTCATTTCAAAAAAGAGAAGCCGTGAGTGTTTTTTTTGAATAACTTTTTATAGAAACAAAATAGAGGCCTGCGATTTTCACCGTTGGAAAGTGAAGATGAAAATGCATTGAAGCATGTATTACTGAATTTTTCTAATATGTTTTATGAAGAATTCTCAATCACATTATCGTAAAAAAGGAACAGAAAGGTCGGACATTAAAAAAAGAAGAGAAAAGGTGATTTTTCCACACGATTTCTCGATAAAATAGGGTTAGAATTTTGCATAGAATATCCATAACTCCCGAAAGATTAAGACTGAACATCTGGCACTTGTGTAATATTTAGATCTTTCATTGGCGGTTTTAATGCATTCTTAAAATTCAAAACACTCATGCTGGTGATCGAACGTGATACAATGGTTTCTAAAAAGTTCGATTGGAAACCCTCAAAGAACTTATCAGAATAATCTGTAATATATGATTCGATGCATCTTGGGTTTCTCTTTTCAATAGTGAAAATCGCAAGTCTCCATCGTATTTCTATCAAAATTTATTTTGAAAAAACCACTCACGGCTTCTCTTTTTTTGAAATAAATATTAGCGAACACATGTCATTTTGCCGTAAAAAGTATCATCTATTCGAATCCGTTGTCGAAAAATTATTTTCGTCTTTATTACAAATTTTGTCAATGCTTCAATGAACATTGATTCAGTGTAGTCAGTAGACTTACTGGCAGTTTTTTTTTGTCCTTGAAACTGTCCAACTCAAATAGATAGTCCTATAATTTTGATCAGAATTGTATGAAAAAACAAACATTACACAAACCTTATACATATTTTTTTTTCGATCAATAATTGTCATTGTTTTATGTGGTGTCCATCGTCCAATATCACCTGTATGTAACCAACCTTTATCATCAATAACTTCACGTGTTTTAGTTTCATCTTTTAAATAACCACTAAATACAGCTTTACTTTTTATACATATTTCTCCAACATTATCTTTAGCATAATAATCTTTTTCTGGTACATCAATTAATTTAATATGATTAAATATTGTTGGAATACCTGTTTCACCTGATTCCATATCATTTAATGTTTGCCAACAACCAATAACACATTCTGTTTGTCCATATGCTTCAATAAGAGAACAAGAAAATGCTGCACGAGTAAATCGACCAACTTCAGCGGATAATGGTGCACTTGTTGAAACAACACGTCGAACTTGTCCACCAAATTGTTGACGAATTTTATTAAATAAAATTTTATCCCATAATGTATTTTTTGAAAAATCTCCACATTTCATTAATGCTAATTTATTATTAATAGCTAAACGAAATAAAATTCGACCAAATAAACCTTTTTTAAGAATTTCTGATCGAACTTTATCATATAATCTATTAAGTAAACGTGGTACCATTGAAAGTAATGTTGGACGAAAATCACGAAAATCATCTAATAATTTATCAACTTTACCTTGCCAAAATCCAACTTCTCCACCTATAAAAAAAAAAAAGAATTTCTGAAAAAAATATTTTTGTTGATATACACCTAAATAAGTTATTGCAACAACTGTTCCACAACCAAACATATGTGCCATTGGTAAAAAATTTAAAGCACGTGGAACTTCATTAATTGCTAATGAATC